CGCTGAGCCAAGGTAGAGGGTGCGGGCAGAAGGGGCGGCGCAGGAGGGCACGTGTGGCCGTGCAGCCCTCGCCCGCCTCTTCGGCGCGATTCCCGATGGCTTCCATCGGTTTTGCCGGCGCTGGGGGAAGCCACGGAAGGCCTGGTTTTAGCTCGGGGAGGACCTCGGGATGCTTCCCCCTCGGTGGGGAGGACCGCTCGCTGCGAGGAGGCGACAGCAGAAATGACAAAAAGCGCTCCCCGTCGGCGGAGCTGCCGCAGACTTCCCTGCCTCAAAACCCAGCCGCTTGGCGGCCGGCTCCCCGGCGCTTGCCCTCGGGGGTGCTTTTCCCGTGAAGACTCAGGGGTTTCTTTCCACGCTTGTGTTGCTGGAGTGTGTCTGGAGTGTACCAGGTGTTGCTGTATGTGGGCCATTTGTTCTTACCGATGTCCCATGGGAGTGAGCATGTCTGTGAATGACCAGAAATGCATGGGCATGAACTACAGCCAAATGGATTTTCTCCAAAAACGATTTTAAATGAATTGGGGGGAGAAAAAATAAAAGCGGAAAAAAAAAAAAAACAAAAAACCAAAAAAAAAAACAACCAAACAAAACCCAACCAAAAAAAACGACGCAAAAAAGCGATCGATAGCGAAGAAAACGCAATGCAAGACTAGTGTGGAACCAGCACGATGCTTCAATCGGGGAACGGGGTTTTGAGCCATTTCATGTTTTGGAGCGTATCCTAGAGGACTGGGGGGAAAGGAGCCCTGTGTGTGTGTGCATGTACAGGCGGTAGCCAAGCCCCTGCCGTTCCCGTTGCCTTCTGGAATGGAGTTGACGGCGGCGCTGCATGAGTGACCCAAAGCACGAGCATTGTTAACTCTTTGGTTGAAAAATGAGCGCTTAACTGTAAATTTTCTGATGCACTTTCTCCTTTCTCTGCACTGTTCATTGCCAGAACTCCAATAACAGCATGGTCATGGCCGGCAGGAAGGCTTGTGCTTCTGCTGCACCGCGCTGAGCCGGGTGTACCGAGCCTGAGCCCTCCTGCCCTCTCCTTTTGCCCCTCGTGGTGTCAGGGTGCCAGGGGGCCGAGATCGCGGCTCCCCGCCTCTGGGCGGCCGGCGTGCGGGCAGACCTCGGCGGAGCCGGGCGAGTAACGTCTCGGAGCCTGCCGCCGCTGAAGCTGGAAGGAGAGCGCTTTTTCGGCTATGCCCTTGCTTTTCCTCTCCCCCACAAAACGGACGTGCGAGTTTTTCATCCCTCGGCCTTCGCGGGGCTGCCGCCCTTGGAGGAGCCCATCGGGCGGGACGCCCGGCTCACGTTTTGCCCCCCGCGCAAGCAGGACGTGTATAAGCAGCCATGACCTTATACACGACGGCCTTGCGCCACAGCCAAAGCCGTGACCTTCATTTGGCCGCTTTTTCCCAAATTTTGCCCCCGCCCCGCTGTAGGCAAAGAGCTCAAAGGGCTCCGGAGCGATTTTTCAAGGCCACGGGCAGCGTCCGTTGCGACGAGACGCGCTTGCCGCGGGGCCGTCCATGCTCCGAGA